GACCCTCCTAACAGCTGACTATAAATTAGTACAAGCTGTAAACCACACAAATATGCATAAAAACTTTAATTCAAGCTTTTTCAATTAAAATAATTTAATTTCTAATGATGTAACTGATATTAATTATCAATGATTATTTTATCGAAACCAGATTAATGTTGCGCACATAGGATGATGATACCGATCGCTTGACATGAATCGGTGCATTCTATTCATGAAACATGTATCAAAATCGTCTTAAAACCTTACAGCTGTTGAGTGCACGTGCAGAACTCAACACTGAATTAACTTTTCACCTTCCAGTGGAACATGGAAAATCTACGGAGCAAATAATAAGTAGTTCAAGATTTGCAGCTTTGGCTTAGAGTGCGCGTTTTCAGTGACGGAAGATTCAACGCTAAACTATGGCATTAGTTTCGTTGAAATGGCCAGGTTCTTTTTAAAGTAACGTCATTGCAACGATTCGTTGGAAAGCATTCAGTGTGGGCAGCAGCCAAACGATCACCTTTCGTAAGATAAAGACCGATAATGTTCCGACTAGGTGTGGATTCGTAAATCGCCTAACAAAAGCAAAAATAAATTTAATCTCGAAATAACCTTCAACATATGGACAGATCGAAACATCGCTATCCGAATATTACCTTTGGTGGCGATATCAAACGTTCAGAACAGATTACTCAATACACTACTTATCATCTTACCTCTATAGACGAATAGTTAAAATAAAACTAAACAAATTTCACCACAAAACATGTACCTACTTAAATGCTGGACAGAAACAAAAGTTAATGATTGTAACGTCAGCTCTACATCGCACGGCAATCTAACTATTTTTCCAATTTAAAGCTAAGTCCAAGTTGAACAGCCAAAGTACGCGAAAGAACCGAAATGACCGACAACAGTAATGAAGCAAAGAAGTTAAATGGCATTGGAGTAAGTGCATTGTATTGTCTAATCTAAACGTCCTAACTATTCACATATCATTACATTAATGTGAATTACGTTCCACTTATGATTCACAGTGGCCCTAATAGTAACACGTAACAGCAATCTATGACTTCATTCCGTTTCTTCAGTTTAATTTTCTACCAATGTTGCATGCGCTTTGCTAAACCCCCCGTCACAAACTCAGCCGATAATCGAGAGAGCAGAAAATATAGGCAAAAATCTGCAAAAAATCCTCGATTTAAAGTGAGTGACCGACTGACACTAAACTTCAAAAAACGCATTCGTAACTTTAAATTTTAGTTTAATGTCGGCCCCTTCTTACGTCATTCCAAATTTACGATAGCGATCAAGTCACGATAGTACCTTAGCCATCAATCCACCCATCTTCCATGGCCGCTTCTTCTTCCGGGTCGCGGAGGCAGACGCGCCAGACAGGGCTTCCAACGTTCCCCATCCTGCGCCAGAGTCTCAGTTTCGGTAGAAGACAGCTGGAGTCTGGAGCAGACTACTTCCACGTATTTGCACCAGGTTAATCTTGGCCGTCCCCTCGGCCTTCTACCTATCGGTTTCGCAAGAAACAGTTGCTTAGCCTTCCTTTCTGGAGGCATTCTCAACACATGGCCAAACAATCGCAGCCGTGACTTCTCAATCTGGAGAAGCAGAGGCTGTACACCAACGCTTTCTCGGATGTCAGCACTCCGGACTATGTCA